CTATGCTTTCCGCATCTGAGATCTTTGGGATTACACTCTGATATTATTTTATGATAACATGTTTGACTATTGACACTTTGGTTTTGACTTAAGATGTTATTATGAATGTTTTTACATTTATGGTTTTATAATAACTTATTTAAAAATGAAATTTTTGGCATTGAATTTTGGAATGTTACACTAGTCGTGATAACTAAGTTAAATAACCAATGTTAACCAATAAGTATTATCGTATCGAACGATTGATAATCTACGTGATAAAATTCAATTCAAACTAATGAAAATCATTAAGCTTTAATTCAAAACACAAAAAGTAATTGATCATTAAGAATTAAGAAAAAGACATTAGTAGCTTGAAGATCTATTAATTAAAATGCTCCACATCAAAATAAATACAATAGTATCAATTCAATAGAAATAGAATTAATATGGTTTAAATGAAAGAAAAAATATTGATATATTATTTAGCCTCTTAATGTGTGTATGATTCAGAAGTGCAATGATACGAGAGGTTGTGATGTGATATTAGGTATTTGTCATAGTAAAAATAAACGAAAATCTAACAATCAAATGAGAGGATCAAGAGCTAGTATCTATAAATGGTATATAACATAGTATAAAACAATAAAAATTATATTTTTTGGATATTGAATATCCGAAATACCCGAAAATATACAAAACACTATCCGAATCCGAATTCAGCTCGAAAAACCGGGTATCCGAATTTCGGATAATTTCAAATCGCATTTCGAATTTTCTGAATCGGGTTTTCGGATTCATACATTTTTGAACGCCCTAGATTTAATAGCCTAAAGGCTTCCAATGCAAGATCTCCAAACCATATAGCCATATCACATTTTGAAAAGTTGGACTAAAAGTGTACAATGGAGCAAACTACAAGGACCAAACCTGTAATCTACTCATGCTACATTGAATTAAAACAGACGCGCCAACTAAGAACATGATTCTCACGCGCGCGTGGGCAGGCTATATGCCATTGTTGTTCCTGTTGAAGGCTGAAACTCTGCAACCAGCGTCAGCAAAGGCTCTGACAACGCCCTCTCTAATGGCAACATCCAATTGTCTGCAATCGCAATCTGTCCGTCCATCTTCTCATTTTTCTCACTTCGATGCTAATGATGAAGTGTTCTCCAAAGAACCCTATGTGAAACATGTTGCTAAAAGTTCATTCAGGTTCTTTCTTCCTCTACTTCACACTCAATTACTCAAGTTCATCTGTTTTTGTAGTAATTTATATACTTTTATCACCATTTTGTGCATAAGGTTGGTTCCGCTAAGGATAAGTCATCGTGGATTGAGTTCTCTCTTGGAATTGACGCTGGTTCTTCACAACCATTGACCAGGTTTTCCATTCCATTCGATTCTACTTCTATAATTTGGGTTTTGAACTCTAGATCGGAATTTCAGATGGAATTTTGGATTGGTTGTGTGTTTGTGTAAGATTCTACGCTTTTTAATGCTTACACTCCTCTCTCCTCTCTCCAATTTTGGATTTTGTATTGAAATCTGGAACTGCAGCTTGGAATTTCATGTGGGGTTTTAGTTAGATGGCGTATTTTTCTGTAAAGTTTATGCTTTTTTTTTTGTTGCTTGTACTTGTGATTCTTTGTTCAATTTTGATTTTCAATATTGAAAATTGAGGCAGAGTTTAAGTCTGTTCTTTAGATTTTGCTTTCACTATATTGAGGTTCTGTTCAAATGTTTTTGTGGGTTCTACTTTCATTTCTTTCTATGAAGAAATGAAAGTAGGATGCTATAATGAACAAATTAATGCAACCTAATTTGAAATCCATTTTTTTTTAATAGATGGATCTAGAACCAGGAAGGTGTAGAAGAACCGATGGGAAAAAATGGAGGTGCCGCCTAGCGGTGCTTCCTGATCAGAAATACTGTGAGCGCCACATACACAGAGGCTGCTTACGTTCAAGAAAGCCTGTGGAAGATCATATGTCAAAATCAACCGCAAAAATTACCGTTTTGCCCCTGAAATCCACCATCAATCTTACAAAAAGTGATGCTAGAAAGGATAAAAGTGTTTGTATCAAGAATCATAATAATAGCTTCAAAATCAAGAAAAGGAGTAGGGAAGATGATGCTCGGGTGCCTCTTGAATTTAGCTTCTCCCCGAAAAGTGTTCTTCAAAATGATAATGGTATGTATGTCTTGAAACTGTTTACTCTACTACTCTTATGAATTGTGAAAATCATAAATGACTAAAATGCCCCTATGATGACAAAGTATATCCTAGGGGACAAATGTAACACTAGATTCAATCTTATCAATAATATGTAACAATGACAATGGACAAATAAGTAATTTTAGGTTGAACATGTCCCATATGAGTGTAAAAGTTGTGATTTTTTATAATGTTTGTAAAAAATTACTCGTTTATAAATTCTATAATATTCATAAAAGAAAATTAAAGTATGTCGTTATATTACAGGAAAAAAAAAGTACAATGCCTAAAATGGGATTTTGACTTGGAGTTAAAAACCATTGGTTTCTGCTACACCTCCATTGCAATAACCTTATTCTAGAAGAAAGGGTAAAAAGGGAAACACAGGAAACACCAATTAGCATCTTTTCTGTTTGAGGACAGTTTGGGTAATTTTAGCCGTTTATCTTATTTAGATTGAACGAACTCTCTGGATACGAGTAAATGACCATTATACCTTTTTTTTAGATTGAACGAACTCTCTGGATACGAGTAAATGACCATTTTACCCTTTTCTCTATAACAAACCGAAATTATAGATCACTGTTTTAACTAAAATAAATATTGATACAAATACAATTATATTAAATCACAAAGACACTTTCTTTTTTGTAGCTCAACATTCTGGCAACTCAAGCAACAATCATAATAACCATAATCTTGTTGTAGTACCTGAATCTGCAAGATGCAGAAGAACAGATGGGAAAAACTGGAGGTGCACCAAAAGTACACTCCAGGGGCAAAAATACTGTGCACAACATATGCATCGTGGGGTTAAAAAGGTCCAAAATCACCAAAATTCCAACACCAGTCTTTCATTTTCTGTTGGGGCAAATTATGTACAAAAGGGTAGTTCTGGAAATCAATCAAATGAGTCTAGCAATAGTGATGATGATGATGATGGAAGTGATCCAAATGGTGCAGCTAACAGCAGTAGTAGTGATGCCACCACAATCTCTATGTAATGGCTCTGTGTTTGTAGTGTATTAAGTTGTGTTTGTATCGAACCCTTTTGTGGGTTTTCAATAATTTGGTCAAATGATGGACAAAAATGTGTATGTTTCTAGTTTGTTAACTGAATCGAACGTTTAACCTTTGTGTTTCAACTAGTGTTTTGTATTATGGTCATTTTGCTATTCTGTTATAGAAAATAAAATCATAATAGAAATCTAAACTCATTTCAGATTTTTGGTTAAGAAATCCATGTGTGTCCAACTTAATTAAGGTGACAAAATAAACAAGTTGAAAAAAATTATGTTATCAAATCAGCCCCTTTGATTTATAGATACTCTTTTCTATCATTCACATATAACTGGAACGCATATTTTGATTATTTTCTATACACATTAAAAAAAATAAAGTTAGAAAGAAAATAATTTCTGTTTTTATTTGTAGTTTCCCTGTAACTGGATCATGAACTAAAATATATTAAAAGTAGCCGTATGCAAGTACGTTGCCCAGAAAAAAAAAATAGTGTGGTAAAGATATTGTTGAAAATAACCAAGTAAGTGGAATATAGATCTTTCAATAGTTTACTGGCTTGGAGTTTTTTTAATATTATTTTTCAAATAGATAAGATCTAATCAAACATAACACAACCATGTAAATGTTTCTTTACATTTAGCATGAGGATTTTTTTAATATCGAAATGGTGATTGCATTCCAACTAACCTTTAAAATGGTAGTTTTTTATAGGCCTTTATTTTTGGCATTTATATTTAGTGTTAAAAATGAACCAACACATAAATGGTGTTGTATTTGAAGGTTGGATGGAATGAAAATGACATTTAAAATGGTATTTTAGAGGTCCGTTGGAATTTGTCTAAAGCTCAAACGCAATTTATAGAAATTGTGATATTGTGGAACTGATACCAACTTATAATGGTTAATTGTATTTTAAAATTTTATATTTATAATGTCTATGGTTCTATTTACGCATTTCTTTGTTTCTGGTAAAGAGCTAAAATGGTATTGGCGGAAAACCTTATCATCCTTAGTTGTTATCAAGCTCATGCACAACCACTTAAATGCATTTTTATATTTAGAACATAAATTCAAGCACTCTCAGGTATAAAGCTTGATTGTGAGTCTTATAGAACTTTTATAGAACTTGTGATATGTGGGGTGTGGGTGGGTGTGTGTGTTTGTTTGTGGGGGTGAGCTTGGGAGTGGGTGGGTGTGGGTAGGTAGGGGTGTGGTAGGTTGGGGTGTTAAGGTGAGGGTAGATAGAGGTGGGAGTGACTGTGTGTTTATATTTTAGAAAAAAAAAATTGGAATTAAAAAATGTGGAAAGATAAATTTAGAATAATAGACGAACTAAACGCATTTTCAAAATTCTCATTTTTCTTGAAAATGTTTTCCGGAAAACGACCCATTTTTCCGCAATTAAACGCACCCTAAATGACCAGGTTCTTGGATTTTTTTTCAAATGTAACAAAGATAAATTGAAACTTTTAGAAATGGACAATTCTTGTTGGAGTCAATTTAATTCTTGTTGGAGTCAATTTTACAACTGCTTTTAATGAAATTGATTGTATTTGTCAATTGTTGTCCTCACATTGGATACTAATAAAAAAAATTCAAATTATAACATAAATATTTATCTGGAACCACATTGACTTAGTAACCTCAATAATGGTTTATAAAAAGGGTTATTGTCATTGTAGTCCAACAAACTTTAGTATATTGGTTTAAATGGTCCATTGTGACTATTTTTTGCCTTTGAAGGGCACGAACTTGTGTTTTACCAGTTAATTTGGTATCTTTACCCATTTTTTAAGGTTACAGTGCCCAGTGGCGGAGTATCTTTAGGGTCAGGAGGGGCTTCCCCCCCCCCCCCCCCCCTTAGAAGTAGTCATATCGTGGTAAATTTTACACAAATTAGGCCCAAAATTAAAATTTTTGGGTTGGCCCCCCTGCTCTCTGTTAGTCCAAACTCCGAACAAAAGTGATCGACCCTTTAACCCTCGCTCAACCGCTCCATCCTTCACTGTAGTGTTCGCGGACCACCTGTCCACCTCGGCACCTCTCAATCGGCAATCCACAATCACCGCCGACAGCTCCACATCTCACCTTTGTGCTGGAATTGATCAGGTATGTGCAATGTTCTTTCTTCTCTCTTCTCCATCGGACCATCATCCCCATTCCCTCCCCCTCTGATTAAGTTTAACTTATTTGTATCTTCAATTCTTGATAATGAATTTCTGATTTTACTTGTTGTATTCAATTACTTGCTTCAAATTACTTATTTGCTTGTTGTTGGACACACATTGTTAATTAAATTGTTGGTTCAGTGAAACCATTTGCATGAGCACTTTCTTAATTTTAACGAAAATGGAGTTGGAGTTGTCCAAAGAAGGCCTTCAGATTGTTTTTAGGTTCTTATTAGCGATTGGGTGCTACATGATTCATTTTTTCTGAATTAAGCTGAGGACATTTTTAGAAGAATGTTTCCCATTTATAGCGGCTCTACGAAAATACAAACATACAAATTTCTTATCTGTGGAAAGTTTAGTATTTAACTTATGGAATACTACAAACTATAGTTACAAGAAATTACAAACAGAATTGTCAAAAGTTCTTGAACAACCTTAGTTTACTGAAATTGCTTTGAAACTACAAGAAATTACAAATAATGTTGCTTACACGATTGATGGCCCAATTATCTTCACCAAAGTTATCTTAAACTATTGATTTGAATTCTATATGCTCCTAATCTTATTAAATTTTATGTATTTGTTTATATTTTTGTGTTTAGTTCGAATAACTCCATTTTGTTAGCTAAATTGTTGGTTCAGTGAACCAGTGGGTTCACTGTACTCTACACCCAAAAATAAACCCAACAACTTGAAACACCAAACCTAGAACTTGTACACAAATCAGGAAAGATGCAATCTTTTACACCTGTACGCAAAAACTTTAAAACCACATGTGAGTACGAGTAGCTATATAGAGAAAAGAAAAGAAAGAATAGAGAAGAGAGTGTGAGTGTTATTATCCTGATAAACAAATTGATTGGTCTCATTATTCGTTTTTTTGACCAAATACTCTCCTATTTTCTTGCCTTCCCAATAAACAAATTGATAAAGTTTTTGAGTTGGCAAAAAATGTTATTATTCTGATAAAAAATAAAAGAATTAAAAAATGAAAGTTTAGATGACTTTCTCGCCTGTTGGTTTAAATAGAAAGAGAAATTATTGAAAAATTTATTGGGCGTTTACAATTCTTCTTCTTGGTACTTTTGATGTTTATTTACTGAAAAAAAAAATTATGCTTCCCCCCCCCCC